ATAGGCTTCATAACCTACTAGATAGCCGATAGCAGCACGTGGTGCTAGCTTAGCTAGTCTAGGTAGCTTAGTAATGCGTACATAAGCTTTACATCCAAAGATTCGAATGTGTGAGAGATCTGGCTTTGCCTGTAGCCAATGTGGTGCGTTTTCACCGAGGTAGGTAGCAAGCGCTTCGTGTGGAGATTGCCAGTTTAGTGTGCGGTGAGGTAGGCGGTTTTGAATATAGACGGCAGTTCTAGCTGCTTCATGCCAGAGATAGCTTGGTAGGTTTGAATCGATAATCATCTGCCTAGCCATCTTTGAAATCAATGCGCCATAACGCTCAGCGTAGCCGTTTTGGTCAGGTTGGTAGGGCGGTGTGGTTTCTAGATAGATACCACGTGATTGTGCTTCTTGATCGAAGAATTCAGATAGAGATCTCTCGTCATCTGAATGGATAGTGAGGACGCGTAGGTTGAATTGGTGTTGTACGAAATCGATCTGGTCGCAGAGAGATTGGGTCGAATCGGTCTTGGTAGATAGATCTTCTGCCAGTTGGTATTTAGTGATAGGGTCCACAGAGTGAGATAGGTAGGTCGTTCTGCCTAAGGATGGTTCGAAGTGTATAAGATCCCAATGCAGAGATTCGAAAGGGCGATTGTACTGCATAGGTCGTCGAGAGATTTGACGATGCGAATTAGCTAGTTTGCATGTCTCGCAGTGGTTGATAGGCGAAGATATATCTTTGATGGTGATGCCTGATGAGTGCTCTGGTAGATGAGATAGGACGTCCTTGCTAACGTGTCCTAGTCGTCTATGCCATAGGTCGACTGTCCCATCTAGCTGCTTCTTGGTGTGTGAAGAAGATAGGGCAACCTTGCTGAATTGCTCAGTGATAGGTGTAACTTGATCGTGTGAGACAGAAGTAAGAGATAAGTGAGAGGTCGGTGAAACATGAGCGTGGTTGGCAGTAGGTCGGTCAGTGGTTGAATTGTCCCATCGAATTAGGTAGATGCCTGATTTCGCGTTAAGCTTGCAGATAGGTCTTCCGTCCTTCTCTTCTAGTAGGCAATCCTTGCCATTCAGATAGATGCCTGCGCTAGCAGCTCTCTCTGCAGAGATTAGGTTGATGTGGAATCCAGGACAATAGGCAACTTGTTTCAAAGGGAAAGTGGTTCCATCTAGAGATTCTGATGGTTTGACGGACAGTTCACCATAACCAAGGATAGTGGTTTCGGTGTTTCCAACCATGACAGAGGACACAACGGGCCTATAGTTTGACAGTAGGTCCCTATTATTCGTGACATGAATTGATGCTCCGGTATCATAGCACCAGGTGTCGTTCTTCTTGGTAGGAATCCTGATTGTGCTCATCGCAACACCATCTTCCTCTCGAAAGAGAGTCTTAACCTGTTGTTTTGGTATATAGGTAGAGAAAGCGTCTCTAGTAGTCGAATTAGTCGAATTAGTCGAATTGGTCGAATTGGTCGAATTGGTCGAATTGGTCGAATTGGTCGAATTAGTCGAATTGGTTGAATTAGCCGGTTGGTAACGTCGAATTGCACGTTGATAGGCTATCTTGAATCCTCTAGATTCATCGCATCGCTTTTCAAATCGCTCTTGGACCTCTGGGTCAGGTTGCCACCCCCTAGGTCTTGCCTTAGGATTCACATAGCGACACGTCTCAAAATCGTGGTTACCAGAGTTAGGTATACCCCCACAGGGGCACTTCCTTCTTCTGGTTGATTGTGTAGGTCCTTCTTCGTCTGATTCGTCAGGTTGACGTCCTTGGTAGGTCGTATGTGCGATAGGTCGTCTTCTACCACTGCTGATTGGTGTGGTAGGTGGTCGGTATTGATCGACGAATTGATTAACCAGTTCGGTCAGGGTAGGTCTCTTTAGACCCTGTAGGATTGTATTGTACCAGAAGGTGTAGAAGCCCTGGTCACTAGGTTGGATAGTCTCTAGGAAATCGTATACTGGCGAGAGAGGTTCTTGGAAGTAGGCAATTCGTGCTTTCTCGCCTTCTGATTGGTTGATTATCCACTTCTGACCCCATGTAGGTAGTTGAGACAGTTTGGTTGGTGGAGCTTGTCGTTTTAGCTCATCCCAATCGCGTAGGATTTGACGATTCTTCGATTGGTCGGATAGGGCAAAGGTAGCACGTAGTTTCACTATAGCTTCGTGTGCTGATAGGCCATTGACGATTTGACGTCCTTCTGGTGTGAGAGAGGATCGAATACCTTGCTTGAGAGATTCAATGGATCGTAGGTAGCGAAAGTAGTCTGATCTTGACGATTCGTATTCACTTAGTAGTATCTTATAGATAGCTAATTGGTCAGACGTAAGGTCGATGAGCCTGAGTGGCTGTTCAGGAAGATTAGATGTGTATGTGTTGGTAGGGTTTCTGATCACATCAGATATCTGTGGTTTAACTGGTTCCTGAGGCGGGGTAATCGGTGCGGATTGGTCCGGATCGGCATATTTCCACACATTATTAGCTAGTGCGTGGTCTTTGACCGCAGTGATCCATGGAACCCAGTGTGCGTGAGATTTTAGTGGGTAGTGAAGCCAGGTGGCTTGTTGCGTGGTTGAATCCATCGCTTCTGTGTGGGAAGTGAAGCGATGTGAGAGTAAAGTAAAAGAAGATTGAATTGAATTGGTTAAATGTTTAGAGCAGAGGCGTCGGGCTCATAACTGTCGGACTCTAGGCGGTGACCATAAAGTCGTGGTTATACACACAAGACGATAGTGTGCATAAGGATTGGTAAATACTCAATATAGTGTCTGAATACACGGTTATGAGTCTATCGGTCGTGCGCACTTCTATGAAGGAGAAGTACCACGATTATGGAAGAGTACCACTGATCTAGAAGAGAGATCACAAAGGATGATAAACTTAATTCAATTTAACTAGGTAACATAGCAGTATTTATATCACAAGAAACATAGCAAAAGGTCACATGATAAATCAACAGAATCAGAGTGTTGAGAGTCTCTTGCTTAGGTAGGCAATCATATGCGAGATCGTTGAGGATCAATCTGTTAGATCTTTATAGAAGAAGATCTATATGTAGAGAGGGGTTATATGAGTGGGTCCTTCATCATGTGACCCCACAACATCCACATGTTGACACTTAATCTATATTAATTATTACCTAGTTCTAGAGGAGGGTAGGAAGCTTCCGGTATAGATCACGCTTTCGAAGATCTATAGGCTGTTCGGCCTCCTCCGTAAGGTAGGTAAATTCGGCTAGGAAATTACCGAAATCCTGCTTAGGCTCTATCTTTAGGGCGAGGTAATCGTCACGGGTAACTTGCTAATAGTTCGGGTCGTGGAAGACACTCTGTAGGTAGTCGAAAACGTCCTACGTAGTTCGGTACGCGGCGGTAGCGTCTTCTTATATTCGGGGGTTAATATATCGGAGTGCCTTTCCTTCGTAGCGACTACTCACGTACGCGAGCTAGTGGGTAGAAGTTAGATAGTGGTCCTCGTTTAATAGAAGCTTACGCTTTATCTCGGTCTTCTAATCCTTGAACTTTATATCCTTTCCGTCGTTAAATATAGGAGGATTAGGTATCTTGGTCGACTTCCTGTTACTAGCAGTAGAAGGGGTCACCGAGGCTTCTCGTAACACACGGTTATCGTTGGTTCGTATTATATTTATCACGGTTAATAGGCTATCACGCTCCTTCCGGAGGGTTTTAGTTTTAGTTCGTATTCGGGCGTACTCCTCCTCCACCTGCTAGTTACGGGTAACGGAATCCTCTCGTTCGGTCATTAAGACAATCTACTCACGGAGGTCGACGATCTCTTCTTGGTGGTCGGCGGTTAGGGTAGTAATCTAGCCTTTCAGGTCTTCGATATCCTTTATGCGGTTGTATAAGACCTTCCATACGGTCTCGGGGTCTTTCTGGATCTAACGGATTAGCTCGTCGGTATCGGTCACCTCGATCTTCTCAGCGTCGGGCTACTCATCGAGGGTTAGGGATCTTCTGCCACCACGGCGGGGGCGTTCGGTCACGTTACTAGTTATCTTGGTGTAACGGTTCTTTGTAGGTTCGTTCGGTTAAGTGGTGTAGTCACTAGGTAGCTAGAGAGCACGTATGTACGCGTCTCTTCGCTTAGCTAGTGACTAGAAGGAAAGATAAAGGGTGAGATTTAGTTGTATATTACGGTCAAGCGAAAAGATTATAAATCAATTCGGTACTGTTTAAACGAGGTAACTAAATCTAGAGAAAGAAGAAGAGAAGGAAGATTCTAATCCACCTAAAGGGATTGCCTTTATAGGGCCCTCCCTTTTCGGCAACTCCCATATAAACACTTCTCGCCAGTTCGTTCGCAAGACTTTCCGTATCTACGAATCGTAACAATGTGAATAATATGGGAGAGCAAAGAGAGAAAATTGGTGTGAGCTACGCCATGCTTCATGATCATTTTATAAACCATGCTATATTCCCCACTCCCGTCGAGTTGTGCTAATAGCGATCTACAGTCTGTGCGGCGAAGTTAGATAGGACCGTCTCTAAATACGGTTTCGAGGCTTGAAAGTAACCTAATATAGTAGTGATTAGCACACCATACATTACTTTAGTTCAATCGAGTGGGCTAATACGAGGTGATAGAGACTACGGAGGACATCTCCAAGAAATGGTCACAGTCCTTGGCAGGGCCCCGTTCGGTTATTGGGAGAGCTATGTTGAATGCCATGAAACGGAGCGGAGTGAAAGGGGTTACAAACGTGGGTGGTCGTTAGCGTCATTCCCACATAACGGGACACCTAGTTACACGGGACACCCCAAACACCATACTGAATGCAATATTTCACACCTTCAGATTACATGGCCTAAGGCTGATTATATGATCTTATGGTACCTAGAGCTATTCCAGCCCAACAGGGGGTAGGTTCCGCAAAATTTGGTCTTGGCAGGGCTTAAGAAGGGGCGAGTTGATACTTTTATTGCCAGGAACTTCGAGAAGATCGGTCCATTTTCCGACATCTCCCCACCAGGCTGTATCAGACAGTAGGCTCTCCATTGACAACTGGAAGTGGATCTGTTTTGGGAATCGCCATCGTCTTCCAGGTTTCATGGTCAACGACCATATAATCATTAACTTCCTTCAATGTCCGTGAGAAATCGCTCACACCATGTTCCAAGTTACCAGGTTTTCCTGCAAATGTATACCACTGCTGAGTAATACCGGAATCAGCACTGGTCCCTTCGACAATGGTCGCATTCCAGTAATACATGCTTGATGCATTCTGCCTTGTCTCCAAATTCTCCACTCCAATTGCGGTGCCAGTAAGGTAGGATAGAGTGTTGAGACCCGATTTGATCTGGCTCCGATCAATCAAGGTATAGACTGAGGAGAGGGTAGCGACGGTAGGGGCAATAATATAGGCGCTGAAAAGATTCAGGGGATAATGGTAGGTATTGGTGAGTTCCGAGAAGGAGTTGACAAAACTTCCAGTAGATGTCATGGCAAGCGATTGGTTGTAAGCCCCTGAGGTCATATTTTGGATATTTGAAAAGGATAAAGATTGTGTCCATGAAGCCAATTTCAAACCTGTGGATGTGCGGATTGTGGAAGAAATGGAGAGTTCTCGGCCGGCCGTGAGGGAGAAATAGAAAGACTCATTTGTCGTTATTCCGTTGGTGGTTGTAGTGGTGAGGTCAGGGGAAAACGAGAACAACACCTCGGGGGCATCAATTTCAACGGCCTGTATTATTTTAGCATAGTAACCATCTAAATGAAAGATTTTTGACGTACGCTTCCCGTGGTTTGCTTGCCTTCTTTGTCAAGCCAGACAAAAACGGACCCAGTAACATACCAATCTTCTCCAACAGTTCCAAGATGGCTTGCGGTAGAGCTGTCATAGCCAGAAGCCCTGAGGCTAAATGTGTGGGTATTGCCATCACAGAGCAGTGGGAGCCAAGGAGTAACGTCTATTTCAAATGTCGGCAAGTCGTATGCATCGATACCTGCGATGGGTCTCCACAGACCGGGGTCAACGCCACCTGTGAAGAGGATGGGGAAGGGCCATAATACACCAGCAAGATTTCCATCAATAAGTAACTGAATCTCACGGAATGGACTATAGCCATATAACCACCCTGGGTTATCTGGAAATGTGTTTGTGAATTCAGACGGAACATTTGTGTACCAAAATTCCTCATTACCATTCCCTGAAGCAAGAATAGACACGACTGCAGACCTGATATTCTTTGGGAAAGTAATAGAAACAGTTCCGTCGTCATCTGGAAGGGTCATGACAGATGAGATATTCCGTGAGGAAGCTAAGGCCGATATAGGATATACCAGATTTGCTGGATCGAGATCTTCATACCGATCATTGAAGTACATCGCTTCTAATGTGACGTTGAACGCACCGGTGTATAGGTCTGAGTAGACATTGTCGAGATCGAAAATCACCTTCTGTTCTTCTCGAATCAAAGTGTCAAAGATAGTCAGATCTTTCTGGTAATTCCAGTAAATGTCATAACCACCAGGCATGGCAGTAGAAGTTCTCCAGATCTCAATGTCTCCAAAGAAAAGCAGAGCAAGACGATCATACTGGCGACCAGATGATGTTATAGAGATATTGAAAATAGTCGTAGTAAAATCACAGTCTTTAGGTGGGGTGTATGTACCTAAAAGGAAAAGCCATGAAAGTTACAAGGGAATCAAATTATCAATGAAAGCATCAGCTGCTTACCCACATAAGGTAAACCATAGCTACTTGCAAAGACATGGTTGAAAATGGTCTGAGTGCAGCTAGGATTATCATAGTTTTTGCGGGGTGGAACTTGAGCCTGGACAACCTCCATGGCTCCACTACGCTCAGACTGTCTTTTCCTTCCATCCGCTGATGGCAATGCGGTAATCAGGTGAAGAAAGGACAAACCAAACAACAAGGACTCGGCGAAAAAAGCCCTCATTCTGTGCGTAAGGTTATTTTTCTAACTACACTCACTCACTTTCGTGCCATGGAAGAACTATTTAAAGCTTCTCGGCTAACACGGAGTTTGTCGCAAATCTCAAGCATCTATTATCACCGAGGTCGATATGTACAGATAGCCGCTACCTGAATTGCTGTGGGGAGACTACTGTTAGTGAAGCTTTGAAGGGCCTTAAGTGGGGAAATTCTACGCTAGTCGAGCGAGGTAGCCTTAGCGAGCAATTTTTAATTGCCATTTATCAGTTCATGTAAATAGCGCGATCCCGAGGTCCATTCGTGCGGAGAAGGTCTGGAATTGAAGACGAAAAAATAGATATCATTCTAGTAAGCTAGGCGACAGATAGGTTTGGTGAACCGAATGTGCGATTAGTGGAAACAATATGTTCAGTAGATTGAGGGATTTTCTTGGTTTATTCAAAGTTGCTAGCTCTATGACTATGACAGCTGACATTATAACGCTCTAATCTGGCTATGGATTGAGCTGCGAAAATGCTGGTACAAGACCTCAAAGCAAATCTTTATCTGGCCACGAGACGGAGGCAATGAAGCGATCAGCTTTCGGCACGGGTTAGGTCAGCCCTGGTGTCACTTCAAACGAGATCCTATTAGTGTGGCCTGTATTTAGATAAACCTTTCGTTTTTTTTTTTTTTTTTTTTTTTTTTTTGGATATGGAACCGCAAATGAAATTGACTATCTTTCAGTAATGACATTACCTTAGCGCTCCAAGATAGTTACGCTAATTACAGACAGTCGGCATGAAAGGGGAGGAGTAAGACAGGGGCATCCATGAGCAAGACGGTACTCTGAGCGTCGGCTAAATCTATCTCTTATCTATAGTCTGGATTTAGCTCCCTATTGGCTCTTCTGTAAAGGACAATATTAACCTGGCTACAAAGCCGCCGGAGTTCCGTCGGCAGAATACAGTAAACTCCCGTTTTCGGCACTCCCAGGTTAGGCACACATTTTTATTAGGCACCAAAATCTGTTGGATAGACCCACTTCTTAGAGTTTTCCCATATATAAGAGGCCAACCGGCACACCTTTTTGTCTGGCACACAAAATTCTCTTCAATTTTTGCTTAGTCATATAAACCGACCAATCAGAATGCAGGATTTTTCCCCTTCCAACCCTTCCACCCCTTCTTCGGTCGCTCTTTCAGCTAAACTAGCTATACCAAAACAACCCAACAAAGGTATATCCGATGCTCAGAAAAAAGTATTACGTATCTATGTATCGGAGACACGCCCTAAACCTACTCAGAGAGAATACGCTAAGTGGTTTTTATCTCAATTTAATCGTTATATCAACCGTGCGACCGTCTCCAAGATTCTTTCATCCAAATACGAGTACCTTAATACTAGTTTAGCTAGTCAGAATAAACGCCCGTTAGCATCTCGGTGGCCTCTATTAGATAAGGCCCTATATATCTAGTAGTAGCGTCACGAGAATGCCGGTTTTCCTATAACAGGCCCATTAATTCAGAGCAAAGCCGTCGAATATTAGAAGAAAATACCCCAGTATAAAGATCTCGACCCGCCACTTTTCTCTGAAGGGTGGCTATCACGGTTTAAACAGCGCCATTCGATCCGATATTATACCTCCTATAGCGAATCTGTATCGGTTCCGGCTTCGATATATTCCGACATAGAAGCTATTCGGGCTATCTACGACTAATATTAGCTAAACGATGTCTATAATATAGATAAAATAGGTCTATTCTGGCGTCGAATGCTAAATAGGGGTCTATCGAGTAAGGATAGTCCTAGTTATAAAAAAGACAAGACTAGGATTACTCTCGTAGTAACGACTAATACTACTAGTTCAGATCGAATGCCTCTATGGTTAATAGGCACTGCGAAGATACCTCGTGCTCTACGAAAACTTAATATCCTAGCACTTAGATATATCTGGCGATAGAACAAGAACGTATAGATACGCGGTAATATTATACAAGAATGGTTCCGCTTATTTTATAGGTATATTAGCACACAAAGACGAGTCGTGCTATTACTCGATAACTTTAGTGCGCATCTCTCTACGCTTAAATATACGCTACCGCCGTCTAATATTAAAGTCGTTTTTTTACCACCAAACGCGACCTCGATTTACCAGCCATTAGACCAGGGTATTGTCACGGGCTGTTGCCCGATATTGGTCACGTGTATCACGGAACCTTGGCATGTTGACATGGAGAACACGCGGGACGAACCTTTCTTCCCTAAGCTTTTTGTAAACAGCATGTTGGCCTAGTTAGATTGAATTAAGTCTTACTTCAGCCCCTCACATACAAAAAGCTTCCTTCTACACCTAGAAGTACCACTGGTTATTAGAAAGCCCTAGGAAGACGACCTAGGCGCTCATTGGAAACACCCCTGAATCCCCGGCGATTCAGTGACGGCCACACAACGGAACGGAACCCTCGCGTATAAGGCCTTAGTGCTCGAGACGTATTGGAAAGCCCTAGAAGATCTCAATTCCTAGGCACATTGGAACATTGGAACGGAATATAAGCGAATAGCAACCGAAACGGTACCGGTCGCTACCCATAGGACCCTCGACGCGAAGCCGATTGAGAAACGAAGAACGCACGAATAAACCGCTACACACGGCAGAGAATGGCAAGAAATAGCGAATCGTCTAGTCCCCCTAGTTGGGCTCAGACATTAATGCAGCAAATCGCCCAGAGCCACGCCGTATACGAGAGTGCTACCACAGCACAGAACGAACGGAACACCGCGCAAGACGAACGGATCGAAAAACTTGAGGCATTACTCCAGAACATATCAATCCCTAGCAAAACACCGCCGAATCCCTCTCGAATCGAAACCGAGGTCACGCAGGATAGAACAGGGATAGCTATACAACGCCCTCGGCCACGACTACCGGACCCAGCGATGTTTGCAGGGAGCTCTTCGGAGTGGCCATCCTGGCGAACAGTGATGGAAAACAAGCTAGCAGTAGACGGCGAAGCTATCGGGAGCCCACAAGATCAATTCGCGTACGTCTTCTCTCGGCTAGAAAAGCTAGCCCTAAAGAACACCAATTCGTTCGTGAAAACACAGCGAAACGACCGCGAACCACGACAGCTTCTTGACTACCTCGAAAACATCTATGGCGACCCGAACATCAAAGCAAGAGCAGCAAGACGGCTTCACCTAATACGACAACGCGAAGACCAGTCCTTCGCGAGGTTCCTACCTCAGTTAGAAAGGGAATTCGCTGACGCAGGCGCTTTTGAATGGCCTGACGAGCCTAAGCGGCAAGTTTTGCTAGCTTCGCTTAACCGAAAAATGACCGAAACGCTACGGTATCGCGGCGTCCCTAGCACCTTTTCGGAGTTAATCACACGACTCCACGAGATTAGTGCAGACAACGACACCCTGGATATTAATCGTACTCGGAATACACGCTCTAAGAGAACGACTGACGAGATGGACTGGACCCCTACTGTCTCTGTAAACCGTACCGAACCGCGTACGAAACCCCAACGATTCGAGAAGGAACACCCTAAGCAAGCGAAATGGGTCAGCCAGGACGAACTGGATAAGCGACGGGCCGAAGGGAAATGCTTACGATGCGGGAGATCCGGACACCTTATCGCGAGGTGCGCACTCCTACCGGCGCAACCGCCGAATAGTACACGTACCGCTACCAGTTCGAGCAAGAAAAGACGTGAGCGTACGGTCAATGTGAAGAAGGCAAGGCCTACAAGTGATAGCGAAATAGCTCCTGTTCTAAGCCGCGAGCAGGAGCGGAAGGGGGTCGAGAAGCTACTTAAACGTGAGACATTACCGTTTATAGTCGATGCTAGAGTGAATGGAATCCAATTTACACAAGCTCTCGTCGATAGCGGCTGCCGCTGCTATGCAACGGTAAACGAGTCTTTAGTCCAGTCGCTCGACCTTCCGCGCATTAAGATACAGCCACGAGTCCTTGACGGAGTGGTACCGAACCAGTGCCGAATCACCCACATTACCCATTTCGACCTCGATGTCCACGGCCAGCAACAAGGCCGCGTATTTGCCTATATTATCGGACCACAAAGCGATAGTATGATACTTGGGGACCCATGGCTACACGACGTGAACGGACGATATTCGGCAAGGAAAGGATACCTAGACATCTTCACAAGGTCTGGGGAGCGGACAAGATGTTGGAACCGCGCGGATCGCACTATCGGGCCTGATGGAGTAAAGAGACTACGCGTCGTGCAGGTTAAGGCATCATCTATACAGCAACTCGTACGTAGCGTACCGGATGCGGATCGTTTGCGAATCGGCAGGGTTTCGCTAGACGATATTGAGAGAGCATTACGACCCAAGAAGCACATCGACCCAAAGGATAAGCTACCGAAACACTACTGGCGATGGCTAGCCGCCTTCAGCCAACAGTTAGCCGACCAGCTACCTCCGCACCGGCCAGGAATCGATCATAAGATCCCTCTGAAACGCGACCGAAACGGTTTCGAAGAGCCACCACCATATGGTCCTCTCTACGGCATGAACAAAGAGGAACTTCTTTACCTACGGAAAACGTTGACAGACCTACTCGGGAAGAACTTTATACGGGTGAGCCAATCACCTGCAGCAGCACCAATCTTGTTAGTTAGAAAGCCAGGTGGTGGCGTACGATTTTGCGTTGACTACCGAGGGTTAAACGAACAAACGGTGAAGGATCGCTACCCTCTACCGTTGATTCGCGAGACGCTGCGGAATATGGGGCACGCCCGCTGGTTCACGAAACTCGATATCATCGCAGCTTTCCATAAGATCCGCATTCACCCCGGAGAAGAATGGAAGACAGCATTCCGGACGCGATATGGGCTCTACGAGTGGAACGTTACCCCGTTCGGATTAACAGGCGCGCCG